TGACCATACTTTTTCTTCAATGTTAGCATGGGACCATATAATGTCTTGCATTGTAAGGCAGGTGGGACTAGTTCTTGATGCAGGAATAGAGAAGGATCTTCGGATTCGTCATTTACAAGTGGTTGATGCAGCAAGAGCTTCCCTTGGTTTGCCCGTTGTAGAATATACTGTGACAGACACCCCTTTACAGGTACACAACTGCTGACGAATGAACTATTTAACAGACTCGAGAAGGATGTATTTTACTTGCACTCTTCTTTAATACATAGTGAAATTGTCTTGGAAACTGTTTACATGATATGAATCATATAAAAATTCTTTAAGAAGAAAAGTCTTGGATGTTTATAAATATGGTACTATTCAACACATTTTAGCTGCTTCGGTGGATTATAATGATTGCCAGTCCTCATGGTAGCATTCTGGTGCAAGTGTAGTCTTCATGAATTTGGGTGTTTGAAGTATGGAATTTTTATGTATTGACTTTACTGTTCTTTCATGAACTTAAACATTTACTTTCAATGGACTGACTGAATGGTTGAACCTAAATACATTACACATTTCAAGGTGGAAAAATGGATCAACTCAAAGAGTGGACAATCCACGGGGAGGATACAGCATTCTGATTCTTTATTAAGGGCTGTAGGATCATTGATAAAGAGATCTGGCGTGACTGCAGTTGCAGTAGTGGCACGCTTTCCAGATGATGATAGTGATGACATTGATGATTACCGGCAAGGGATGGTATGCTATTTTGCTTTGCTCCAATTTTTTTTTTCTTTTTTTATTTTAGTGCTTCCTCTGTTCAACCTCCCCCTTCTCCTATGTACATTTTTGGTAGACTTGCATGATAATTAAGTTAATATGTGACATGTAGATAGTGTTTCCAAAACATTTTTGTAAGTATTCAGTTGCATGTTACACTCTTCTAGGGGATGGGGTCCCTACCTATTTTCTATAATGAGTGGAAATGCAATGAATACTATGCAAGGATACAAGGAAAATAAAAAATATATGAAGATCCCATAGTCAAGCTTTAAAAATCCTAGATTACAGTAGCAAACATCATTTTTGGATTAATGTAGCCAACTCCAAATGCATGGGGAATAAGGTTCGGTTTGTTGTTACCAAGTATCATTTTTAGGTGAAAATATCAGATGCCTGTAAGACGTGTACTGCTAACTAGTCAATGCATGTTTTGTCTAGTTGCGTATGAAGTGAGGGAGAAAAAAGTGTCTGCTTGGACTATGGGGGTATCTTCCTTTTAGGATATTTGATTACCTTGGGATATATTAGGGAGATTTTCGCCAATCGAGGAGGAGCCAGTTATTGATCTGAGAAACTGGTCATTTGCTGCATACCCTTCCTTTCCTTGCATGCTTCTTCCCCCTTAACATGATTTCTGAGGAACTGCAATCTTCAGTCCCACCAAAAAAAAAAATAATAATAATAAATAATAAATAAAAATACACGTGCACAGACAAAAAGAAGAGGGAGAAAGAGCCTTCCGGTGACAATTTTGTTTTCAGCTTCTGTAGGATGCTCTCTTATCTTTTGCTATTAACTCTGACCATTCAACTGCATGTAGTTCTGCATTCAAATTGTATTCTGAACCATGGGTATCTCTGGGTATGTCAAACTCCTTTAGCTATCTCTACAAACTAAATGCTTTTCACTAATCTGCAGCAATAAACAAATAGCCATCATCCAGATCTCATCCTACTGAAGCTTTTATTACTCCAGGGTATAGATCTTTTGGCAGGTGTGGAGGCGGTGATTAGCCATCTGGTGGTGAAGAATTATGGGATTCCTTGTGCTCATGCTCCTGCATTATTACCTCTTCCACTCGGTCCTTCTTTATGTCCAAAATCAGCTGCGGAAGAGGTGAGATATCTTTGGTACTGGACTATCCTCCCGAAAACATATAGAGCCTCGAATCCCTTTTTGCTCTGTTAGGAATATGTGAGGATTGACAAACAACTGTCTTTTTAGACACGGTAATTACATTTTGATTGGCAGAGATCAATGCTTTTGTTCAAATGATTGGAACGTGGTCAAAAAATTCCAATATCATTAAATTTTACAGCCCATAATTTCTGGGTTAGAGTGAGAGAGAGAGAGTGTGTGAGTGAGAGATTAGAATCATCCTTCTGCAGCTTTTCTTGTTGAGCAGTCTGTCGAAGGAAATTGGAGCAGGGCATATAACATAGTTGTTTTAATGTAGTTCAGTGAGATGTAATGGAAGTTATTGTTTTGTTTATACCCCAACAGTAATTCTATTGAACTTCATGCAACCTTTACCGAGCCAAACCCCTCAAAATCATATGAAAGGCATTTGAAGTACCTGATGCAACTTTTAGAAAATTACCACCCAGGTTGCCTGGGATCCTAATGAAATTTCCCTTGCACTATGAATTTCTAACCTCCAGAAATTTGAAGTTATTTCTACATTTATGTACTTAATCATGGAATATAGAGGGATAAAGCTATTAAAGCATGACTATTCCTACTTTTCTTATGTCTTCTAGTTATATGATTGATTTCCACTCTTTAATATTTTTGTCAGATAGGATATACATTTTTGCCATGTGTGCTTGCTGGGCTTAGTACAGCACCACAGTATTTGGTCCGGAATTCTGAGTCTTCAGACAAGGACTGTATATTAGCCAGTGATGTTGACAGTGTGATTCTACCAATTGACGCTTGTGGAGGAGATGGTGCTCTTGCATTTGCTAGTGGAAAAACAAGTAGGGTATGAATTCTGTGCTCATCTAGTCTTGCTGTCAAGTTTAATAGTTTCGGGTGAACTTTTTAATATAATCTTTATGTGACTCAAATGATTTGCCACAGTCACTTTTGATTGCCGTTGAAGAGAATGAAACTGTTCTCAGGGATACACCTGATAAACTTGGGATTAACGCGGTATGCTTTAAACAGCCTATCAAACTTCATCTGTTTTCATTAGCCCATCATTGTTGAAATTGCATAACATAAACTCTTATATTCAATATGGAATGATCTTTTCCAGGCTTCTGCTCTAACGATGGTTCAAATATTTCTAAGTTATAGACTTTAAACGCCAAGCGATAATTAGATGGTGTATTTCTTATTCCAGGTGAAGGTATCAAATTACTGGGAGGCGATAGGAGTTGTGGCTGCTCATAAAGCAGGAATAGACCCAAATTCCCTGCGGAGAGACAGGATAAAGAACATACAACATGCTTTTTCCGCCCCTTCAAATGGTTATGCCTTTTCTGGTGCCGAATCATTTCTTTGATGGGCGAAAACGATCTTTTTTTTTTTTCCACTTCTTTTTGCTGAAAGGTGTCGCATAGGTGTATAATAATTTTCAGTTAAGGGTGCTTTGTTTTTCATTTTTTGACTGCGTTTCTCCTTCATATTATAAAGTAAAAGAGCACTCTTCATCTGCATTTTTTGGCTGATTGAAGTAATTTATTTGTACAAGCAGTTGTGTTACTTTATAATCCACGAGCATCTTCTCTGAGTTCACATCCCAAATATCGTGTGGACATAGGTACATGATCGTACATGTTTTCTTCATTTTTGTTTGTTTTTATTTATTTATTTCCATTGGGATTTAAAGAGTGAACAACTAAGAGTCAATGCATAATGGACATTTTATTTTGTTAATCAAAATGGACTTGAAAAAACATAACTTTTTATAAAAAATAAACTTAAAGAAGCAACCTCTATCACATGTACATTATGAGTTACTTACACATTAGTTTACACTCAGAATGTAACATGATCTGCACCATTAATTTTTCCCTCCACTTTTCCCATCAATGCAAGGATTTCCTCCATAGCACTATTCTATAAAGAAGCTCCTCGGAATATTCATATGACTTCTTTTTCTTAATCATGCACAGTAACATTCAATCGAGTTTGTGAAATATAACATTAAAGCATATATTTAGATTTATCAACATACTTCTAGGAACCCACTATTCAGTTTCTGTTTGATTCTCTTTATTTCAAAACTCTTTATTTTTCATACTCATTTTTAATTACTCATTCACACAATAAACTATTTCAAATGTAAATTTATAACTTTTTTTCACTTTTTAATAACACATTTACCAAAAATTCACCATTCAAAACATCATTTTTCTCCAATTTCTTTATAGTGACCACCAAACAACGCTCAATTTGAATATTTTGCCCTCCGAAAAAGGGTTAACTATATCAAAGTTAACATCTAATTTATATCCTCTTGGATCCTTCAATAGAAAGTATGAGTCGAAGCTTCTGAACTGTCATGCACCTAATGGTGCGCTGAACCACTTGGTTTTTGGTAGCCGAAAGAAAGCTGGATGGTGTTTTACTGTTTAAGTACAGGAAACATGACAATTTTTAGCTAAATGTCAAAATTTTTTCACACCTCTGCATCTTGCTCCTATCGTGTAAGCTATAAAAGCACCGAGCAACATCCAACGACTCCAATCTTTCTAGTTTGCACTAGAGTAGCATAAGAAGCTCTCGAGGAGTCTATTTATTCTCTTTGTATGAACTTTCGAAAATATACCGATCGTAGGTATCTGACCATCGGATATCGAAATCTTCTAAATTTCTGACATTTAGGGCTATAGGATATCAATAGAACAAATCCGACATTTAGGGTTATAGAATACTAAGAGAATAAGCACGCAAGAAAAATCAAGCATCAATCAAGAGAGCTATAGGATATCAATAGAACAAATCCGACATTTAGTGTTATAGAATACTAAGAGAATAAGCGCGCAAGAAAAAAGCAAGCATCAATCAAGAGAGCTAGCTTCGATCTCAAGTAACTCGTCTAAGCAACGACGGAGCTGTCGAGTGAGGATTGGCCGAGATACCAAGAAGAGTTTCAAATTCAAGCATTTCAATTGGATCATCAAGTCAGGGTGAAACGTACACAGTCCATTTCAATCCAATCCCATTCAAACTCGAGCAATCTGAGTCCGAGGCTACAAAAATAACTGTGATGTACAATCTACCTCTGTAATAACAGTAGCATGATTTGTTACCTTCACCATTGCAGTTTAATTTCATTCAAATCACATTTCATTGTTAATTTCCACATCATTTGATACATAAAATTCACATGTTAAATGCTTTGATCATCCATATAACTCAGCATCTGAAATAACCCTAGATTGATTAAATCTGCCTCCAGTTAAAGATTCTAAGAAAATTGTAGAACATTCTTTGCATTCCCAGTCAATGTTTCCCCTCAGTCTTGCACACCATTTTCGCCACCATCTTCTTTCAATCTCCTTTTTGCTTCTTCTTGCTCTGCAGAAAACACGGTTTATACATGCCAATTAGTTCACATACATGATACAACCATATGTATAATATCATCAGATGAATATAAATCCAATACCGTTCCCAGGCATGCTAAGAGATGAACATCTTCAAAATGCTAGCAGTAAAACATAATTAAAACTACAAACAAAGATCTTATTATAATATGCAAATAGAAATCAAGTTCATGCCATCATGGTCATCTTGAAAAACAAAATATAAAGGACAGGCTTAAGACAATAAGTCGGCCAACAAAATCACTCATAATTTATTAACAAACATTAAAGCTGATGATAATGTTCAGCAAGTTTAAAACTCCGAAGGCAAACAAATGAAATTATGATATGAACTAGAATAGACTAACTTCATCCTAGTGTATTGACCATATTTTATATCATATATTCTGGAAACATAGCAAAATAAAACTTGCACATGCTGTTCGCCACCAAAGCCAGATAAAGAGAACAAAATATTAGTTCAAAGCTGTTAAGTGCCAACGGAATTCTAACCTATTAAGAATTTATTAAAAAAATATTACATCAGCAATAAAATGATCAAGTATGGGACTTAGCATTCTGCATTCTTCTTTCAGCAATAACTCATCTGAATGTTATTAAGGAAAATTGGCAACCTTAATGTTGACTTCTATTATATGAAAAGAGGAAGCAGGCCACAAATGACTATAATGTCATCAATATACACTGCTAATGGGATCCAATCTGCCTTAAATTTTGTTAAAACTCATTTGGGATTCAGCCGCTGCTGGATATAGGAATCAAGTATCTCCAATAAAAAGTTAACAAATGGGCCCAGTCCAGACCATATTTGGGTATGCTTGAAAGTAAGTCTAATTTACTTCTTGAATCACTAATTTCTCCAAACATGATTTTTCAATGTTAATTTGTTACTAAAAAGACTTACTTTTTTGAAACTAAGTCTTCACTAACTTCCTAGATCTAATGCTGCTCGAACTCTTCGAAATGAATGAAGTACCTGTGTCAACATGACACAACATGGTATGAATATGGGATATATGTCGGGTCCTCTAAGTTTCAATCGGAATCTTCGCCATTTCTACTTCTTTCTTTTTTAAATCCCTTTTTCTTCTTTTTTTTCCTTCTTTCCCTCTCTCTATCAATAGTTTAGGATTTTCTATAATGAAAATCGGTTTCATATATTGCTATTTAGTGTTCCATTAAGTCCAAATTGCTATCAAGTCCCCCATTTTTTATTTTATATAACATTTAGTAATTAACTTCCCATAATTAAAAAGAAATCCCAAAATTCTATTTTATTCATTTTAACCCCTTATTCAATACTCGTTTCCTTCTTTGTGAACAATTGCTTTTGATCTATTTAAAATGACATCTTGGGTTAAGAATTAAAAATGAAGTTTGAAAGATGCATTCATGTACTCGCATCCAAAATTTGGACTCTTTTTAGACATATTTTTGTATCCTATATTTTAGAAAATAAAATTTGACACTTAAATATGTATCTGTACTCGAGTTCAAACATCATAGCTTCCTAGAATAGTAACTTTTAAGCACGGCCAAGCATGTTCATATTTGATTAATTGTATGAATCACAGCCTTCCAGCCTAAACAAAAAGACAAACCATATGTTTGGTAAAGCTTTTTTAAGCTTATAAGCCGGTCATATATCATTTTCACTCACACATTCTGTAGGACCCATAACGTATAATCTACAAAAAAGCTTGACCAAACATACCCAAAACTGATGCTTTCTAAAACTACATATAAGAAAATGCTGGTGAGCCAAAAACTCACAGAATGCAACTGAAGATTTAAATTGCGCTTATTTTAATTACATTTTCTCACAATACATACGGTTGTACGTATGTGTAAAATTTATAACTAACATTAAATTGTGAATATATGGTAAAGATACCAGAGACCTAAACAGCTGTCAAACCCAAATGAATAATACCGCAAAATCATCTTTAAGAGAAACACTTATTTACAAGCTACTATATTAGGTTAATGATGTTAAAACATCATCTAACATTCATATTGAGACTGATTGAATTGACATATTAAGGTGATTCCCCATATAATCAAATAACAGTGGCTCCCCAACAAACACCAATCCATGATACTCTTAGTGAAGTCCAAGGAGTCATTTGTCTTCATATGCTCTCAATATACACAAGCTGGGCTCAGATGCTCATTTTCAACAAAGTAAGTGCTCAAAGAATCGACTTTAACCTATTTACTTCCTTGGATTGTAATCAATAGCTAATTAACTAAGTTTAATCACAAAACAGAGACATAATAACAGAATACGAATGTATGCATAACAGGCATCAATTAATGACATCCACATCTATATAAAAACTTAAAGTGTTACGAGCACCAAAAAAATAATAATAATAAATAAATAAAAAGGATGTATTTATATGTATGTTACCCATACATACATATAAATACATCCTTTTTATTTATTTATTATTATTATTTTTTTGGTGCTCGTAACACTTTAAGTTTTTATATAGATGTGGATGTCATTAATACATATAAATACATCAAGATACCATTGTCTAGTTTAAATTACGTACCCATTAGTGTAACCATTGCTTTCTGAGTACGCCTTTCAAGCTTGTCGAGTTTCTTCTGTACATCTCTCCGCAAGTCCCAGTTTGGTTTCTTCGGTGCAATGTTTAGAAATGGATCCTGAATTTTGCTCCCAAAACTTAGTATCACAAAAAGGAAAGGTAATACAAGTTTATAAGTCAATAATCCACCTCTTTCTTCTCTTCCAATGGAGGTGCCATGAGAATGGGATCTTCAAACTTTGGTAGTACTGGTGGGGCAAGTTTGCCCTCTTGAAGCTGCTTGTCATGAGGAAGATAATTTCGGAATTTCATATTGACATTGCTGCAAAAAGTAATTTATTTTTGTTTATCAAAATGATGAAGCTTCTTGTAATTATGATGTTAAAATTTGAATCGAACTACATGCTCATCTTTAGAAGGGATAAAATTTAATTTTAAGCAACAACTACTCTTGCGAAGAGGTCATTAGCATGATATGAAATTAATTAGCAACAAAAGGTGAGTACATGTTACTTCAGTGGTGTGAGTTAAAAGCCAAATTACATCAATCCTTGGAAAAATCATATGAAATTTCTCGATTTCATACTTCAGAAAATAAGCAAAATAGGATAGTTTTTAAGATGTTTTCACCTGTCATTGATCCAAACCCATGGATCAGAATTTTACAATACATTTCATCCCCTTAAAACTTACTAACTCCCATTTCTACACCCTACAAAGGTCTTAAAAAGAAACCAAATCAAATTCCCACTAGAAATCTTTGAGGTTGACAAGGGCAACCAATTATGAAACCAATTAAAATAATATAATTTTAGAGACCCGAAGAATAATCTAACACGAAGGTTCATAATATTATCTTAACCTAAATCAAAGAAAGGCCTATATTTACTGCATGTAAGCAACGTATTCCATCAATTCATCACCTAATTATTGATTATCATCCACAATTTCATCAGAAAATACTATATTTCAGCACCCAGCAGTTAATTATTGTGTTAAATATGAATCCATAACAAGACAGATGAACACAATGTAACAGAAACCATATTTGAATTAAATTAATTTCATCTTAAGTTTCTAGTTAGATGAATGGAAAGAGCAAACGAAAAAGAGAAACTCTTTCGTCTCAAAAAAAAGTCTATTTAGCCCTTCTTTGAACTTCATTTTTGTCAAAAAAAAAAAAAAAAAAAGAAAAAGAAAAGAAAAGAAATATGTGCCATGAGAAAATTACTCTTCCTCTTCTTCCTCTTGTTGTTCTTGATTATTTTTGTCATTTTCAGCATCTGCATCAGCATCAGCATCTGCATCTGGGGTATTTAGGAGTTCCTGAGCCGCTTTGAGCGCTCTCAGCCTTTCTTGCCGCGCGGCCACCACCGCCTCTATGGATTCCTCTCCTCCACCATCCATTATATGGGTAACTGAGAATTCACCGAAAAACTGTAGGCTCGAAGAAAATTCAGCACCCAGCTGCTTTGAGTAGAGTTGTTGTTTCTCGAGGAATTCACAAAAATCTTTTTCGATTGATTTTTAAAGAGTTTAAAAGGGAGATATTGCGGCCCTGTTCAACTTCCAGGTTTGATTTAGGGCTGTTGTGTTACCTTATCAAGTTTCAACAACTGATTTCTCTTTAAAAGATCAAATTTTGAAGTTATCGATAATAATTCATCACCCTAAGTAGAAGAAAATTCCATCATTTGAAATTTTAATCAAACAGGTCTGGTTCAAATTTATCACCCTAATTAAAATGTTGTGACATATACATCCAACATGTCTGGTTCGATTTTTATAACATTGAACTTACTTAATAGTATAGTGCACCAAGTAATTAATTGCAAAAATGTCCTTCATCAATCAATTAATTAAATCTTCACTCTCATCTTCTACTACTCACCCTTTGCGTGTGACACATCAGCTTCTCGATCATGGAATAAATATGAATTATTATTCGCCCCTGTAGACCTTCTATCATCAGGACATGATGCCCAATCTGAATCTGCAAATGCTGTGATGTCTAAACTGTCATTTTTCTGAATAACTAAACCATGTGTTAGTGTACCCTTTAAGTATCTAAAAATTCTCTTAAGGGCCTTCCAATGAGCATCTGTGGGGGCTTGAAGAAATTGACTCATTTTGTTTACAGAATAGGCAATGTCAAGTCTTGTGTGTGCAAGATATTGAAGACCACCAACTGCACTCCTGTAGAGAGTAGGATCACTCATGGCTTGCCCTTCATCCTTAGATATCAGTTTACCTACTACCATAGGAGTTGGGATTGGTTTCAAGTTTTCATAGTCAAATTTCTTCAGTAAGTTAACCATATATTTTGTCTGAGTTAGGTAAAGTCCTGTGACATCTCTGTAGACTTCAATACCCAAGAATTGATTGAGATTACCCATGTCTTTAAGAACAAAACAAGCATCTAGTTTATCAATAAACATCTGCAACTGTTGACCATTGTTTCCTGTTATCACTATATCATCTACATAAACCAATGCAAATATGATATTGTCTTCATTCATTGAGAAAAACAAAGAATTATCTGCCTTGGATTGTCCGAAGTTCCACTCAAACAAAGTCTCCTTCAACTTATCATGCCAAGCTCTTGGTGCTTGTCAAAGCCCATAAAGTACCTTTTCCAATTTGCATACAAAATCAGGATTTTTCTGATCCTTAAAACCTTGTGGTTGCTTCATGTACACAGTTTCTTCTAACTTATCATTTAGAAAGGCATTATTTACATCAACTTGCCTGATTTGCCAGTCTCTTGACACAGTAAGAGTTAATATAATTTTCAGTGTTGATGCCTTGATAACTGGACTAAAGGTTTGACTAAAGTCCACTCCAGGTGTTTGTAGAAAGCCTTTTGCAACTAGCCTTGCTTTATACCTCTTTACCTTGCCTTCTGAGTCATATTTCAGTTTATAAACCTATTTGTTTCCAATTATTTTCATTTCTGATCTTGGTGGCACCAGTTTCCATGTGCTATTCTTCATCAAGGCATCATACTCTTCTTGCATAGCTCTTCTCCATTTATTACTTAATAGAACTTCATCAGTATTCTGTGGCTCAACTTCAACCATCTTGTCCTGAATTTGATTTATATACACCTTTGGTTTGAAGATTCCAGCCTTACTCCTTGTGATCATATGATGCCCAGCAGTTTGTATTACATTCTGATCATCACCATTAGCACCATCTTGCTGATCAACGACCTGATCAAACTCTATAGAAGTCACTTGGTTCATATCAGTACTGCTTTCATTTTCATTGATCACAGTCTAAGTTTCATGTTCCACACTTCTGTTGGAGTCTTCAGCAAGTGTTGCATTAGGATGGATTGTGTCAACTGCATTTTGAGAGGTTATTTGCTGGCTTGACTCGATATCATAGGGAAGAGGGCTAACAACAATTTCTGAGCATTTTTCCTGAGTATGGCTGTTTAGGAAACTAGACTTGAAGGGAAATTCTTTCTCATTAAACACCACATGTCTTGAGACATACATTCTACCAGTCGAGCTTAGGCACTTATATCTTTTATGTAAGTCACTATAGCCAAGGAATACACATTTTTTAGAATGAAAATTGAACTTGTGGTTTTGGTATGGTCTTAGACATGGATAACAAGCACAACCAAAGATTTTTAGTTTCTTATGATCAAAGTTTCTACCATATAGGATTTGAAAAGGGGATTTGTTTTGAAGTATAGGAGCAGGTAGTCCATTTATTAAGTAGGTTGCTGTTTTAAAAGATTCTCACCAATAATGTAATGGCATTTGTGGTTGGGCTAATAGTGTCAAGCCAGTTTCGGTGATATGTCTATGTTTCCTTTCTGCTCTACCGTTTTGTGCAGAGGTGTAAGGGCAGGAATATCTAAGTTCAATGCCTGATTCTAAAGCAATCTTGTCAAAGGTTCTAAATCCACCTCCCCAATCTGCTTGTAATATTTTAATCTTTCTTTCAAGAGTGTTTTCTACTAGTTTCTTGAATTGAGTGAAGATATTTAAGGCTTCTGATTTGTATTTCATTGGATAGATCCATGTAAACCTGCTATGGTCATCAACAAATAGGATATAGTACCTACACCCCGAGGTAGAAATCTTTGGTGCTGGTCCTCAGACATCGATATGTATGAGATCTAATGGTTTTGATGCATGTGTTGAAGACTTGGTAAAAGGCAAAGCATGAGATTTACCAAATTGACAAGCTTCACAGAAATCTGGACTTTCATTAACTTTGGCTATTTTATTACAAGACTTAAGGACTTGACTTAATACAGGACTTGAGGGATGACCTAGCCTTCTATGCCAGGTATCTAACTTGGACTTGACACTTTTGGTTGACTCTTTACCCCTTGAGTTTACTGAGAAGACTGCAAGGTTAGGATTATTTTGATAGCTTGACTCTGTGATGGTGACTCTAGGCTTGGAGTTTGGTAGTTTCAGCTGATACAATCCATCTTTAAGCATCCCTTGCAACAAGACCTCCTTCGTTGCAGATCCTTAACAACACAATAATTAGGATAAAATTCCATTAATACATTGTTGTCATTTGTCAATTGAGAAACACTTATCAAATTCTTCTTAATTGCAGGCACATGAAGTAATTTATTCAATGTAAGGGTCTTATCACTCAATGTAAGAAAATTCCTTCTGCCAACATTAGCAATATGCAAAGAATTCCCATTACCAACAAGCAATTTTTCCTTACCTCCATGTTTTCTTATAGTATCTAGATTATCTTTGTCATCGGTGACATGGTTGCTTGCTCCAGAGTCTGCAAACCATGCTGGGTCCTCCACGGTGCTTAGTGTAGCCACATACGCAGAAGGTGAGTTTTTCTGTGCCTTTTGGTTACCTGGTTTGCTGCCCATATACCTATCATCATATCTGTTGAAACACCATCTAGCTGAATGATTATACATCCCACAGATTTGACAGGGTCCTCGATTTTCATTCATTCTTCCTGCTCTACCTCTGCCTCTTGTTCTTTCCCTGAAATTTGAAAACCTTCCATTACTATCTGGTCTAAAGTTTCTACCACCACCAAATCCTGTCCTTTGCACTCCTGACTGATAAATGCTCATTGTCCGAAAGCTATTCTTAACTTGATTGAGGTATACAAGCCTGCTTTCAAAGGTTAAAAGAACAGAAGAGAGTTCATGCCATGATATATCTTCCCTGCTATTTAGTTGCACCACAATGGGTGTAGATTCTTCATCCAGTCCGGATAGAACTTGTGTTATCAGATCACCTGAGTCTATGGTTTTTCCAGCAATCTGTAAGTTATCTGCCAGTTGTTTGATTGTTGTAAGGTACTGATCCATGGACATGGATCCTTTTCTTGTTCTTTGCAACTCTCTAGTGAGAAAAATGATTCTGGATCTATTCATTATTCCATAACTTTCCTTGATTGCACTCCATAATTTATTGGAGCTGGTGCACCCCATCACTCTCATTGCAATTTCAGGGGTCATGGATGAATACAACCATCCCATTAATAGTTGATCAGTTGAAACCCATTTGCTGTACTCAGGATTTGGAACCATCTCCGTAGCTTCTCCTTTCTCAGTAACAATCTGAGTTTCTAAAAGCTGTGGTGGACATGGTTTCGTACCCAACAGGTATCCTTCAAGATTATGTCCTCTAATTATCGGCATAACCATGTTTTGCCATAACAAATAATTTTCTCTGTCCAGCTTCACAGTCGAAGTCTGGATGATGTTCATCCCAAAAGGTGAGTGTGGTTTATAGGAGACTGAACAACTGTTGTAGTGCTCGACTCGCTTGGAGGAGACTGTTTACTTGAATCGGTGTTAGCCATAAGAAGCTCTGATACCAAGTTAAAAAATATCACAAAACTCTGTATTTTTGGAAAAGTTTTCTCGGTACTTTAACTCCTCCTTTTCTCCTCTATTTATTCACAGAATTGTAATACATACATTTTACATACACACAGAATATTCCAAATTTTCCTATCAGCTGATAACACGTGTCTAACTACCTATATACACATCCCTTGAATTGGGGAAATACACTGCAATATACTGTTAAAGCTATTAACAGTATTAACAGCTTACATAGTGGAAATATTCAGCTTTTTTGATCAATCCTAACAAGCCGCAACTGTCACCATACTTCTCCCATTAGAAGCCAGCAATGGACATGACTTGATTTCATAGTAATTTTTCATAGATCAAGATTGATTTATATTATTCTACGAGGCATGGTGAAGAAAAAGACGGGAGACGCCAATGGCCCACGATGTTGGTCCATGCTGTGCAGCGGGGCTTGGAGGTGGTCATTGACTGCGGCGACTACGACAATGATCCATGTATGGAGAGAGAGAGAGAGAGAGAGAGAATGTAGGGGGTGGAACAGTGAGAGGTGGGGGTAGGTAGAGTTTTAGGATTTGGGATGAAATTTGTACATATATTATTTAATATTTAAATATGAAATATCTGATTTTTGAATTACGAAACCTTCATCCTGATTTTAGAATATTGATCTTTAAAAGTGGAGTGTAATTTCCACATTCAATTTTCCCACCCGCCATGTCATTAGTTTTGAATGAATGTCATGCAAACCGTCAACAAACAGTGTATGAGGAGCAAAATTCTTGTTTATTTCCTTGACAGTCAAGATCATTG